TCTCGGAGCAGATAAGCATGCCGGCTGTCAAACGGAGCTTTCAAAGGGCATATCCAAAACAATGACAAGAGTGGCCACTTGCCTTAAGGGGATTATGGGACGTTTCCAGAGGCTGATCAGAGCGCAGTAATGCAACACCTCATTCACACCGACGCTGGGGCGCTCCAGCGGGGACGCATTAAACGTTATTCTACTCGCTGAGATGGAGTACCAGGAGCATTCTACGTGCCTTGCCAGTGTGGACAGGTAGTGAGCTAGTGCGCCCAGGGCTCCTTTAATGTGCTGTAACTCGCAAGTGTAGCCAAGCCCTCAGTTCCTTCCAAATTTCATCAGCAATAAAACAGCTATTTCCCTGCATTTTGTTCAAGGCTACAGAAATAGGCTTCAGGGTACTCAGCATCTGTTCAACATTTCTCTTAAGCCCAATGTTGAGAACTTTGACTGTGACAGTGCCATCTATTTTTTTCACGATTTTGTTCACAAACTGTCATCCGATTAGGTCAGTTCTTGATATAGTGGTCAAAACAGTCCACTACTGAGTTCCATCGCATGTCTTGTGGGAAAGTTAGCTTGGTTCCTCCCACTTTTTCAGAGCAGCGGCTGCAAAGTGGTTGTTACGGAAGTATTTTGCAATTTTAACAACATTAGCCTTTATTTCTGGAACACTGAAGTCTTTGGCTAGGAGGTGCATCAAATGAGCACTGCAACCGTATGTTATTAGCTTGGGACTCTCTTCACTCCCTCCTAAATAATTTCTTCTAATCTTGGATACATTTGCAGCATTGTGACCAAGCTGCATACTAGACATTTGAATTTTTGTTCACAGTTTGTGATAGCTTTTACTGCTACTTCTTGTAAGTATTCTGCTGTGTGTGTGCGCATTTCCTGATGTATCAGTTCTTTCTGTAAGGAAGACATTCCACACAAACACATGCAACAGGATCATTGTGGACATTGCTCCACCCATCAAGACTCAGGTTAACAATTTCACCCTCTAGACCTTTTGCACACTGCTCAATTTCTCTTTCATACACTTTATCCAGCAATTTACTTGCAACATCTGCTCTGTTGGGTGGACTGTATCCTGGTCTTAATGACTGAACCACGTTAATGAAGTGTGTGTTCTCAATCATACAGAAAGGAGAGTTTGTTGAATAAACAAACTGGGCAATTTTTTCATCAATGACCTCTTTTTGTAATCTGCTGGTTCTTATCACAAACTTATCTAAGGTTGTTTCTAGATGATGGAGATTTTTTTTCTTTTTGCTACAAGTGATATACTGTGGTCATGTGACATACATGATGTGACTGAAACACTATCATTGGCAGATAACTATGAAACTATAGAAAATGGTGATCTTGAAGGTGGATAGTCTTCAGAATCTTGTATGTTGAGGATGGATTCTTATCACAACTGCATCTAAAATGATAGTACCATAGAGTAACAACTATATTTTTTGCTCAAACATGAGAATTCAAGAATAGTCCAGAAGGAAGACAGGTAGTCCTTAAGAAAGAAGTATGAAATAAAAAAGTTTACCAACCTGAAGAGCCTGCATGTTCAGACATGTTCCTTTCATCGTCATCAACGCAGCTTCCTCCTGAGAAGGAACACTTCTCATGATGTTGTTTCATTCGGGCAACCAGGCCTTGCATTTCTTTGTTGCCCTGTTTGCATTTTGCACACATGCCTGTCTTACCCACAGGTAGAGGAACTTCATTAAAATATTCCCAAACTGGGTCTCTTTTATGGCCTGCTGCCATCATAGGTCTTCCCTTCCAGTGGGAGAATGGTATGGTAGATCTCAAATCCATGAAGGCTACACTCAGAAAGACCTCAAGACTTCTGGAATATGCTGTTCAAACAGTTTCACTTTTGTTTCTATTGCCTGTCCCTTCCTTCTCACATTTATCTCCAGACTTCTTCTCCTTGTCCAGATCTAATCTGCCCCCAACAATATTCTATTCATTGAACTTTTTGAAACTTTGCACTTTTAGAGAGAGGTAAGGGACTGACTCTGTGTACACAAATTTGCAGAGGGACAATAGGGTTGAGGTCTGTTATTTCTCACCTCTATATTTATTTATTTTATTTATTTAAAAGCATTTTTGCTGTTAATCATGTTATCTCTGGAAACACAAATCCACAGTTTGAGAACTGCAAAACTAAGCATCTCTGGTGGTATCTTCTAGACTGAGCACTGAGTCCCATTGGGTAGATAGAAAGATTAACCTAAATAATCTATACAGAAGCCCCTGGAACCCCATAAGATTGGGTCCCTAATCCACGAACTATTGGAACTCATTTACAAAACTTTTCTTAAACATTACATGACTATATTGTCTCATACTATAGAATTAGAATTTATAATCCCCATTCCAGGATGAGATATCTTTGAGTTATAATGTATCTACTATCTTTAGATCGGATTCTTTTGAGGAAAAAAACTATTTAAATTTAAAAAATCAGATTTTATTTTTATTTTTTTATCCACCCTGCTCTCTTTCTTTAGCACTGGAACAGTTGACAGTTTTGCATTTAATATGGTCTCCTGAAAAACTGCCAGCTCTCCTTATCTCTTAGATCTTCTTCCTACAGACCTTACCTACTAGTTCTCAGAGTTTGTTCAAGTCTGCTTTTCTGGAGTCCATTGTCCTTATTTTGCTGCTCTCACTCCTTCCTTTCCTTAGACTCAGGAAATCTATCCTTTCATTATCACTTTCACCCAAATTACCTTCCAGCATCAGGCTTGCAACCTATTCCTCCCTGTTGGTCAGATTCAAGTCTAAAATTGCAGTTCCCCTGGTTACTTGGTCCACTTTCTGAGACCAGAAGTTGTCCCCAGTACATTACAAGAACTTATTGGCCATTTTGTGTTTTTTCTGTATTACTTTTCCAAAAGGTGTCTGGGTAGTTAACGTTCCCTATTACTACCTAATCTTGTGTTTTGGATATTTCTGTTGTTTGTTCTAGAAATGCCTTGTCCAACTCCTCTTCCTGTTCTGAGGGTCTGCAGATGTCTACTATGATGTCACCTCTGTTTTTTCCCCATTTATCTTTACCCAGAGACTTTCAACTGGTTTGCCTCTCACCTTCTGGATATCAGAACAAGTATATCTATACTTGATGTATAATGCAACAGAACCTCTCTCTTTATCTGCCTGTTCTTCGTGAACAATACATACCCCTCTATACCAATATTCCAATATGAGATTCATCCCACCAAATCTTTGTGTTGGCAATTGAGTCATGATGGTTAAGTGAAAGTGTAGGTTGAGATGGTATCCTGTCAGTAATGGTATGTCTACATTTGAAGTGGGAGATCTGATTCCTAGCTCGCGTAGATGTACGCAAGCTAGCATGCTAAAAATATCAGTATAACCGCAATAGCAGAGGCAGCTGATCAGAATGGCCGCCTAAGTACGTATCCAGGAGGTCTGGATGGGTTTGTACTCAGGTGGCTACCACAAGCCACCGCCTGTGCTATCCTTGATGTACTGATCTTTAGCATGCTAGCTCAAGCAGAATCACACCACCAAGTCTGTAAAATGGTTGTACATTTTATGTGCATTGTACAATATGTAAATTGTACATGTATTCTTTCCGGGTAGTTGTCTAAGTGTGTGAGTGTAGAGTAGGGGTGGCCAACCTGAGCTTGAGAAGGAGGCAGAATTTACCAATGTACATTGCCAAAGAGCCACAGCAATCAGTCAGCAGCCTCCCCATCAGCTCCCTCCACCACACTTCCAGCGCCTCCCACCCACCGGCAGCCCTGCCGATCAGTGCCTCTCCCTCCCTCCCCGTACCTCCCGATCAGCTGTTTTGTGGTGTGCAGGAGGCTCGGGGTGGGGGGAGGAGCGAGGGCACGGCAGGCTCAGGAGAGGGCGCGGGAAGGGGTGGAGTGGGGGCTGGCCTGTGGCAGAGCCAGGGGTTGAGCAGTGAGCACCCCTCGGCACATTGGAAAGTTGGTGCCTGTAGCTCCGGCCCCGGAGTTGGTGCCTATACAAGGAGACGCATATTAACTTCTGAAGAGCTGCATGTGGCTCCGGAGCCACAGGTTGGCCACCCCGGTATAGATACACCAGGATCTAGAAACTCCTGAATATTATGGTGCCAAGGGCCAGTGTGTGCGCGCGCATATTTTGTTCATTGCTCAAATAGGGCAGAGGTAAGGTGATATAAAAAAAAAGGTAAAACAGCACAATCGAAACCAGTCTGTTCTTTACTTTTTATGCTGCTTATTCAACTTATGCAATAAACCAGACCAGCCAATTTCTGCCTCTTAGGCACTGGCAAAAGGCTGCAGATGTTGGGGGTGGAACCACTACATTAGTACTTCATAGAGCTGAAGGCCAGCAGTGACCATCAGACCCATCTCATCTGACCTCCTCTAACATTAGCCATAGCATAACTTGGGTTTTTACACCTCTGAGCGATGTAGTTATAGTGATATAAGTGTGTAGTGTAGACCTGGCCTGAGTACATTTCCCAGACCTGAAGAAGAGCTCTTTATAAGCTTGAAAGCTTGTCTCAGTAACGGGAGTTGGTCCAATAAAATATATTACCTTACCTACATTGTCTCAAATACACCTCTACCTTGATATAACGCTGTCCTCGGGAGCCAAAAAATCTTACCGCGTTATAAGTGAAACCGCGTTATATTGAACTTGCTTTGATCCACCGGAGTGCACAGCCCCCCCCATCTCTCACCCTCCCTCCCCCCCCGAGCACTGCTTTACCGCGTTATATCCAAATTCGTGTTATATTGGGTTGCGTTATATCGAGGTAGCGGTGTACATGAATACTCGAGTATTTTCATACATTTTACCACACTATACAATGGCTGATCATAATGTCCTAATTCTGTATTGCCTTTTTGAATGTAAGCATCTGAACAAACTTTCTCATATAGTAATAACAATTAGCTGAATAAACATTGCTGGATGTAATCTATTAAACTGTTTCCAATGAGACGTAATCAATGTGTTCTGTTTTTTAGGTTGCCTCACTAAAGAAGAACGTGGGTCAGTTCAGCGGGTTTCCATTTGAAAAAGGAAGTGATCAATATAAAAAAAAGGAAGAAATGTTAAAAAAGTAATGACTTCTATAACTACTTAATGTAACTAAATCATGCTGGTTACTCTTATTTTCTAAGGTTTGCTCCAAGTAATCTACATTTTAGGATGAGGGATTGTTTTCTAGAGCTCTGCTTTTTGTCCTTGAGCTCAGCTTAAACAATTTGATTTCTTAATAGGTTCTAAATATTGTTTCAAATCATATTTAAACATTTCTAAAGAACTGGTTTCATTAGACATGCGCTCTTTAACTTCAGATGCAGGTTTAATCTTAATGGTGTAGGATTGTACTGGAAAGCAATTGTTATGTATTGTAATTTTTTTCTAGAGATTAGAAAAAACATATTTAATGAAGTTTCAACACCAGAGTGGCTTGAACTTCATGTAGAAGGCTTTAAATAATTTCCTCTTGTATTTTATGTAATCTCTGGATGTTAGCAAATGTCTACCAAGAAGCAGAACTGCCATCTTAGTTTTCTGTAGCTCTGATCTTTCTTTTGCTATACCACTTGTAAATGTTGGGTTTGGACAATGCAGCCCCCACATTTCTAGGTGTAGTTGGCCCCAGTGCTCTCCACTCCGCCTAATTATTTCACGAGGAATGGCAAGACTGCTGTGGGTAGCGTGTTGGTCTGACCAGTGAGAGACTCGGGTTTAATTCCCAAGGTTAAGCAAAATGCTTTGAGGGCACTACATGCAACTTGTGACAAGGGGTACACCTATATTGTGCACTGGCCCTTATAGTTGAGCAAGGAACTCCTTTGGCTCCAAAAGGATCCCCATTCATCCTTCTGCGTCTGATTGAGGAAGCCCTTTTCAGGGCTAAAAAAAACATTTCTGATTATTTGCATATTTAATTGCAGCCTTATTCCTTTCAAATGTATGCCAAGACCTGAAAATATGTGCAAATAAGAACAGTAGCTGCATGTTTCTGCTGGAAATGTAACTGTAAAATGATTGATTTTTAGCACTTACATTTGTAATTAACTCCTCTGTTAAGAATGGGAGAAGTTCACACCTACTTTGTGCTGCTATTTCAGTCTGGCTTCAAATTCAAGACAATTTACTGACTTACATTTTGAAGTTAGTTCTGGTAAGTGGAAAGAGCAAGCAGACTTTTTAAATTGAAAGTTTTGCCCTTTACTTTCTTCGGTCTGCTGAAAATCAGTGGAAGGACTCCCATAACTTTGTAGAGTTTTGTTCTCTCTCTATTTCTAGTTCCCTAGGACATGCAGTTTTCCAGGAGTTTAATTTTAAAAGTTAGTGCTTATCAAATATTCATAGACCTACATAACAAATCATGGCAAACTATCGAAAGATGAAAATCTTAATCTTTAACAGGTTGATTTGAAGAACATTTGCATTACCCTCGATATGCAAAATATTATAGGGTATACTTAAACACTTTTGCATATTCACACTCGTGACTAATATGAAAAGCAGTTGATGTACGTTTGATCTGCTGTGCTAATCCTTTTCAACAACATTTTCATGTTAATTCTTAAAATCCTCCTTCTCTGAAAAAGCAGTTGCACATGTGTTATTTTAGGTCCTAGTACATCTGATTATCTGCTTGCTTTACTGACAAGTTTTTACCCCCTTCAGCACTGAAGAGTCTATACATACAAATGTGTGGGGAAATTCTACTGTAGTATTAATTACATTCTGACTGCAGGACCAAACTCTGCCTTCTGTACACCTTTGCAACCTCACTGGTTTCAACAGGGTTGGACAAGCATAACCGAGTACAATGTTTGGTCTGCAGAATTTCTTATGGTGAAGAAGGGTAAAGCAAAGCAGAAAGAATGAGCTTGAGCTTCAAACAGAACATTGGGTTTGACAGTACGGGCAACTGGCATTTTTACTTAGAAGCTGAACTTGGTCTGGAAGGTACTGACACAAATGAGCATAGAATCCCTCAGTGACCTCTTCAACACTCTTCATAATACAGCTGCACTTTAATACTTACTGGCTTGCACCCTACCAAACATCATTACTTTATCCATAGAGACCTCTTCCAGTGCAGTATAAACACTTATATGTAATTCATAAGTAATGTGGAAGCTTTGCATTTAAAAAAAGTGTTTACACTTATTCAGACCGTTTAAATCCATGTTGATGAAATATGTGGCGATATGTTGTTGAGGTTTTTGATCATATCACAAAAGGCTCTAACGTAATGCATACCAACAATAACATTGCTCATTGCCATAGAAGCCTTCATCAGTTTTCTAACTTTTGTGAGGCTAAAAAAATCAACACTAATGCAACAAGAAGTGTATTTAAGCCGTATCTACTCATGTTTTGCTTATCAGTACAGCATATCAACTAGAGAACTTAAGTCAACCCTTTCATAAATATACTTATCTTTAGCTCTGTATTGATAGCTTAGAACAGGGGTAGTCACTGGGCGGACCGGGGGCCAAATCCAAACCACCAGAGGCTTTTGAATGGACCAAAAAAATCTTATTTACTTGTTGTAGTTTTTTGTATTGTTTTCTCTGGAGTCTGGACCTTGACTATACCTTCACCAAAAAATTTGGACCCTGACAAAAAAATAGCTGTTGGGGCTACTACCAATACTTCTAAACCAGGGATAATCTAAATTCTTGGAATGCTGTCAGCATATGTGTATCTACTTACCATCTTGTCTGGTGGGTGAAGGATTTGGAATGAATGTTGCAAAGGTAGAAACAGACACTTTCTGTTGTCTGTCTCTCCCAATATGATCTAGCCATGATCTGTTCTTGGCTGTCATTCAAAACTTAGTAAGTATAGTGGGAAATAATACTGTTTTTCCTGTTACCTTAAGGACTTCGGGAGCCAAATTAAAGGGACCCTGTTAGATCTGAGCCGAGAATTTCTTTGAATCTCTCTTCCTTGGTTATTACTCTTCTCTTTGCTCATCTTGTACAATGGAGCTAGAACAATAAGTTTCACTTTCTGGTTATTTTGCATAAATATAGTTGCAATTTCTGATAGAAAATTTCATTGACCACTATGTTTAAAAAAGGCAAAACATTTAGTTTCTGATCCTGCAAACCCTAAATTGTAACATGACACCCAGTTCTATTTTCTCTTTATCCAAAACTGCTGATAAAGTAGACAACGTGTTCCAGTGTCTACTGTCTATTTGGGGCATGGATAACTACTAGATGGCTGAATGGAAAGGCAGGAGCAATCAGAAGAAATAGTAGAGGCATTTTTGGTGGGGCTTGTCTGCAAGGTTGTTTTTTTTTAATAAGTCATGTTCACCAGACTTGTCCTGGAGTGGATAACTTCAAATCTGGAAAAAAAAGTTCTTTACATTGTAACTAGGGAGACTTTTCTGAGGGAACTGCTGCTTATATGTAGGTATATTTATATCCCACAGTATATAGCTCTGAGTTGGGTTTGGGGAAATTGTTGAGAAGGGAGACTTACTTTCATTGATTCTTGATGCTGACCTATGTATGTAACAGATAGGAGTACTTAAGTTGCCTACACGTGCATGTGTTTGTAGGATCAATGTCTAACCAAAAGTGTCTCAAACTCACAATACTTAAATGTTGACTTTTTTTTAATAACCTGTTAAGATAATTAAATTTTGTTTCTGTTCAGATTCAGGAATGCCATGTTGAAAAGTATCTGTGAGGTTCTTGATTTGGAAAGATCGGGAGTTAATAATGAACTGGTTACCAGAATCTTAAACTTCTTAATGCACCCAAAACCTTCAGGCAAGGTGAGGCACAATTTTATTATGCTTATTCGTTGTTATGATTCCAACTTGGGGTGGGATGTGGGCAGAAAAAAACAATGGGGACATACAAGGTTGCCTTATGCGGTATGCTCCTCCTCCTAAATGTGCTTGTGCTACCATAGCTAAAGAAGTGGGTGGCTCCTCAAAAGTGAATGTCTTTCTAAATCTGCTCCCACAGTGACTCAGTGTAGCTGACCATAGCAGATCACATGTATAGGGCTACAGGCTTAGGCAGAAGCCACAAGCTTCTGTTCTCTTTTCCCATCATGCTTGGCTAGGCTGCAAAAGCATATGTATCCAGCTCATGGAGTTACCATTGGACATCCCTACCCAAGCAGCATGTAGCCTTTTTGCTTTGAGGAACAGAAAGGGAGCTGTAAAATGTGAGCCAAAAAAAAAAAATAGAAATGAGGTGGGGGAAGGGAGGAAGATGAAAAAGGGTGGCAACTGTATCAGGGATGATGTGAGAGCTCGTTGAAGGTGGAAACACCCTTCAACCCATTCATCACAAAGCAGGAGGGGAAGGGGGGATCACCAGATCACGGCTTTATTGGAACTGGAGTGTGTAACAATGCACTAAAACCAGCTGCACAAAATACTTTAATTAGGCTCCTGTTATTCCACCTTATTTTTTTTTAACCTAAGCAATACAGAAATAGTCAAAGGCGGTCATTGCTTATCAAAATTCCTTTTATCATAATTGCTACAAATGTGAAGTCTTATACAGAAGTGAATAAGGAATCTCTCTCTCTCTCTCTCTCTCTCTATGCTGCTTTTTTTTTGTTTGAGAAGCAACCCAGATGGTTCCATTTCTGTCAACAGTTAACTTATTGAAGTGCTATTCTATTCTGGAAAGTTATCTTCATTGGGGAGTTAATGTTTGTTTGTCAATAGTTTCCCGCTCTTCTTCATAAACTGAGCAAATTAAACCTATCTTCTAATAGCTTCCAGACCTACAAGTCAGTTTAGGTTCTTTCCTTCTTGTGCATCATCTCCAGTAATAATAATAATTTAAAAAATCTGCTTTGAATTACTTTTGTGCAGTTACACTGAAGGCTTTTAAAAGAAACATGGAATCCCCCAATGCCATTTTCAAAGTTGCTTTTCCAGGGTAGAACCACACTAGAAGGGATTACAAATTAAATAAGGAGAGAATACTTGAGTGCCCCATACAGAGATATTTGTTATTTAAAGCAGAAAATATGGAGCTCTTCCTAATAAACTTTAAATGACCATGTTCGTAGTCTTCAAAGACAAGTGTCTTTTGACACATTGAAGAGATTAATCTAAAATGAAGCAGATATCACTAAAATGTACTGTGTACTTTCAACCTCACAATGCTTAACTTTAGAGGTCTGCATATTAACGGGGATCAAAATTCTTCCCCTCCCCTGTTGACATCTTTCTACATACATAATCACCTGTTAAATGAGCTGGTTTGTGTCATTGTGTTGGCAGGCATTGTGAAGTTTGGTGTTAGTCTTAACAGTGAGAACAAAAATTCAACAATAATTGAAGTTGGGCTTTTGTAGAATTATGGCTGAGGAATTAAATTAACTTTCCCTCAGTTTGCAAGGGGAGGAATATGTATAGGTAAAATATGTATCTGGAGTTTTGTCCAACTTGAGGAACTTCCATTATATAGCCAACACATACTGCTGTTTGCATGTGATTCTACAATGTAGATCAGTGGTTCTCAACCTTTCCAGACTACTGTACCCCTTTCAGGAGGCTGATTTGTCTTACATACCCCCAAGTTTCACCTTACTTAAAAGCTACTGGTTTACAAAATCAGACATAAAAATACAAGTGTCACAGCACACTATTACTGAAAAATTGCTTACTTTCTTATTTTTACTATATAATTATAAAATAAATCATGACCCCCAGGTTGAGAAACAATGATATAGAATGTAAAGCAGTACAAACAAGTCATTTTCTGTATGAAATTTTAGTTTGTACTGACTTCAGTAATGCTTTTCATGTAGCCTGTTGTAAAACTAGGCAAATATCTAGATGAGTTGATGTATCCCCAGGAAGACTTCAGCATACCCCCAGGGGTACACATATCCCTGGTTGAGAAACACTAATGTAGATTATTGGGTGGACATATTTGGACAAACGTGTAGGTGGTAAAATAATTTACAGCAACACCCATCAAAGTAGCTTCACCAAACGTAAGCTCTAAAACTGTTCATGTTAGGCAGCAACAGTAACCCATTCTTACGGAATACAAATGTTTACCTAAACAGGGGTGGGCAAAGTTTTTGGCCTGAGGGCCACATCTGGGTAGAGAAATTGCATGCAGGGCCATGAATGTAGGGCTGGGGCAGGGGGTTGGGGTGCTGGAGGGGTGCGGTGTGCAGGAAGGGGCTCAGGGCAAGGGATTGGGGCACAGGAGAGGTGCGGGGTGTTCAAGGGGGCTCAGCGCAGGGGGTTGGGGTGCAGGAGGGGTGCAGCAGGGGGCTTAGGGTTGGGATGCGGGAGTTTGGGGTGCAGTCTCCAGCCCGGCGCCGCTTACCTTGAGCGGCTCTGGGGTGGCAGTGGGGCTAAGGCAGGCTCCCTGCCTGCCCTGGCCTCGCGCTGCTCCAGGAAGCAGCCAGCACCATGTCCCTGTGGCCCCCGGGGGGGGGGGGGGGGGGGCTCCGCGTGCTGCCCTCACCTGCGGGTACCTCCCCTGAGGCTCCCATTGGCTGCGGTTCCCTGTTCCCAGCTCCCAGCCAATGGGAGCTGTGGGGGGCGATGCCTGCAGGCGAGGGCAGCACACGGAGCCCTCTGCCCCTTCCCCTCCCTCCCCCCCCCCTTCCCCCCCCCCCCCCGCGGCCCCCGGGATGTGGTGCTGGCCGCGGCGCATGGCCAGGGCAGGCAGGGAGCCTGCCTTAGCCCCGCGGCCCCACTGGGGTGGCAATCCCATGGGCCAGATCCAAAGCCCTGATGGGCCGGATCCAGTCCGTGGGCCGTAGTTTGCCTACCCCAACCTAAACCTATCAGGCAAAGTTCTGTCTAAAAATGAGGATTACACAATGCTCTGAAAACTATTAAATGCTGACCAGACTGCCAGAGGGAGAATTGTACAATTAGGGGACCATCTACTGAAAATGTTCATCTCTGGTTCTCAAGAATCCTTATATGAGCACTTAAAGAGACAAGTCAGGTGAGGTGGTAATTTTGCATTGGACCAACTCCTGTTAGTGCGAGAGACAAGGTTTTGAGCTTACACAGAGCTCTTCTTCAAGTCTGGAAAATGTTGTCAGCGTCACAGTTAAATGCTGTCAGCAGAACGCTTACAGGGTTCTCTATTATTTTTGTGACTCAAAGGGAGAGGCAGTCTTTAATGCCAATTCACAATAAAATACAGTACACTATATACCTTTCTCATCTCCAGAATGAGCCAGTATGCTTGGTAATGTCTCTATTGGCAAGAAAAAGATGTAGCATTTTTTAATATGATTGGCGGGAAAAAATTAGGCCATAGCCATCTAGACATTTTAGTAGGGGTGGAGACTCTGAAAGAATCCAGGGTGCCCTTGTCAAAAATGTTTATATTTCTAAATAATGGAGCAATACTTAAGATTAAGAGTCTCAGCTTTTTAAATCTGAAAATTTAACTTGAGTCCATTTAACTCTAACTTGAGTCCATTTTTGAGATAATGGGTTGAAGTGATTGGAGGGCAAGATGTTCATCCACAATGAATGACAGTCTTTTTTGGGGGGGGACAGGGAGAAAATAGACACAACAAACTATAAACTCAGTGTCCACCTGATTCCCCCAAACCACAGGCACCGACAACTATGTGGCTACAATTTTAATGTAATTGTGTTTCATTATGCTCTAAATTGTGGTTTTGTCATGAACTTAAATAAAACCAATCCCTTGAATTTTTTTAAGTAGTGTAAACTGTTCACTTTAAAATGATGGTCCCTAGTAACGGGCATCTGGGGTTGCCAAAAGCACATCCTTTTATGGGTCAGTGGTGGCTCTAGCTTTGCTTATTCTTGATTCATATGACTTGACAGAAATTAAAATTTAAAAAATTCGAATTAAATTTTATTACTTTTTTAACCCATACTTTTATCTTAAACAGCCATTGCCAAAGTCCAAAAAAACACCCAGCAAAGGCGGCAAAAAAGAACGCAGTAGCTCAGGAACTGCACGAAAAGCAAAACGCACCAAATGTCCTGAGATTTTGTCGGATGAATCTAGTAGTGAGGAGGAGGATGAAAAGAAAGAGAAGGCTGAATCTTCTGAAGAAGATAAAGAGAGTGAAGAGGAGGTAAATATAACAAAACTTCTTTTTCAAGAAAAAATGAATGAGTTTGTCTTTCTTAGTTTGTAACTAACTGGTTACATTACTGGAAGGGGGTTTCAATATAGTGTTAGTGTTTTGGTGGTGGGTTTGTTTTTTTTAAGGTGGAAAGTAAGCTATAGTTAATTGAAAGGATTGCGTCCCATATAGACAACTTGAGACAAAAGTTCATAAGGTACTATATGTCAGGAAAAGCTGACTTCTTCCACTGTCAGAAATATGGTGTGATCCAAGAACTAAAACTTTGAGGGATGAAGAAACAGAAATCAGAGGACCTGGTTCTGATCTCAGATGCTTATGTGGGTCTTGTAAAATCGGTTGCTGCATGTGATGACTTTTTTTTAACATCTCTAACAAGCAGTGTGGCCCAGGGTAGAAATTTAAGCGTTGCCTTTCTTGTATCTCCTGGTGACGTTTCTAGTGGAAACACCATTGCTTTTTGACTGGGGATTACTGTTAGTGAGCTACTGTTGAAGTAAGCATTGTAGAATTCAGTAAGTAAAGTCACTCCTACCTATCTAGCATTGGTCTTGGGACATCAGTTCCCAGATTCTTGTGTAGTTCTGTAGTGGTCCCTCAAATATTTATTAGTACAAAACTAAGCAACCTTAAATGGTTTTCTTCAAAATTTCAAAAGGTGATAGTCCCACTACACTCAATTTTCTACTCTTTTGTTTGTTCTTTTCAGAACCTTAGTTTTCCATAAACATAATTGTTTTCTTCAAACACTAGCATTTTTCCTCGTACATTCACAGCTTGAGCTTCCCCTCATCCCTTTCTTCCACCTATTCTCAGAAAAGGTACAAAATGTGGAGTGGCAATACAAGCATCTTCACATTGACTCAACCCTACAGTATACCAGTGAAGAGACTTCAGGCTTTGTATCCTTTGACATCTTGATTTCTTAGATGAGATCGTTTATTACCGGCAGTTATGGCTATGGGTTTTGTGATGTGGACACCAATTCACTAATTACAGGACTGAGACCAGCATTTCATATAAGCCACTGAACTACAGGGGATGATACAACTTCAGCCACTACTGACCCAAATTTATGATTTATAAGTGTGGTAGGCCATATATTTGAATTGTCTGAGCTATGGAAGGTAGTTAATCATGAAAACTTTTTGTTGGAAGGCAAATTCATATGACTTCAGAATGAAAATGTCATAAAATGGCAAATGATATTCCACCACCATAAAACAAGATTGGAACCACACATTCTTAACTTGCCATTTTTTTTGTGGTACTCCCAGCTGGTGAGTTGAGAGGGCTAGAGTATTAAAAGGTAATTTTATATTTTGTTCATCTGTTCACCAGTACAGTCTTTCTGCTGTGAGGAGAGGAATCTGGCTCTCTGTGGCAGGAGTCTTTAGAAATCCTTTTTCCGAGAGCTCAGCTGCCTATAAAAGATAGGTAAGCCCCACTCACCTCAGTTTTTTGCCTTTCTTCAAGAGGTAGGAGTTAAACCCTCTGTTCCTTCTGAGCTGTCAGGCAAAACCTGAAAACTTTTAGATGGCTGACACTCCTAAGGAGTGTTTACAGAACCACCTCCGAGGGATTATAATGTTAGAGAACTTCAAAGGAAACTTGATTAGCTCATGGAAAAACTACTCTGCTCTTAAAACATTCTACCTCTTATGCCCTGCACGGGCAACTCTCCTGATTGAGGGTCTTAAAGGAGAAGTTTCATCAAACCAAGGGCTTGTGTACATTTAAAATGCTGACAGGGGGGTTCTCCTGTCAGCACAGGTAATCCACCTCCCCGACAGGCTGTCTACACTGTGGGTTAGATCGGTGTAACTGGATTTTTCACACCCCTGAGCAATGTTATACTGACATACTTTCATAATGTAGACCAGACCCAAGTAAACTTGCTCAAGTTACCCCAAATTCCATGAGATTCAAACCAGAGTTGTCCAAACAGTGAGAAGTCAGACACTTAGTTTGATCTTCAAGTTGATTGTAAATTTTCACAAACAATCTATAGATGAATGAGGCTATAATGTATGAAGTTACTGAAAATAAATTGAAATGATGAACCTGCTTGGAATAGAAGCTTATTGACAACTGAAACTGGATGTCTCTCTAGCTCAGTTGTGGCAAAAGGTAGGAAAAAACTGCCTATATATTTAAAACAACAAAAAAAGTGGGTTGTTTTTTGTTTTTGCTGTGTGCTTTACAGCACAATAAAAACTAGCTAGATGGCCCTCATTTAGTTAGCTCAACAGAGAGCAGAATAGCCTAACTGTTGGAGTCATGGGTGAGGAGCGGTTGGGACAGATGCAGACACCTGCATGCTTCTCTTGATTGAGATTCCAAAAAGACAGCTTCTTAGAATTATCAGGATTCAAAGACAATTTCTAGAAAACAATCGAGATTCTGAGGAAAGAACACTTCCAATACGTTATAAGGCAGACTGAGTTCCATTTAAACTTCTAACCTTGCTCTGTAGCCAAACACTTAAAACACCAAAGCATTCTAGTTTGAAAAGTAACCACTTAAGGATATGATCTGTGTGTATTTCCTGCTGACTAGTGACAGAGTTCTCAGTGCTTCTGTTGCCTCTGCAAAGCCAACAGCTCTGAAGCAGTGAGCTGGATTCTAGTCTGACTGGGGGACCAACACAATTAACTAAGTTTTATGGGTTGCACAGGTGTAAATGAAAGTAGTTACTGGTAATGTGAGTCAAAATTCAGTTTGGTTTTTTTTCACGTCAAATTGTTTTGCACTATTTACTAGTTACAATTTACAGGACTTCAGCACATGCTTAACTTTTTTGACTTTGAGAAATTCCCAAGTTCTTATTTGTGCAGTATCATTTGATGCTAAACAGTGTTGTGGGGTTCCATGCTTGTCTCAGTAACTTCCAGAGGAAGTTTCTAGGGCTGGCTGTTAAACAGACTCTGATCCTGTAGACCTAAATACATGTTTAACTTGTGTAAATAAAGCAAACCCATCTAGTTTGTGTATCATGTATCTTCTATTGACTCAGTTGATTTTGACTTCAGCAAACATGTTGTAGTTTGTCTATTTTTAAAGCATCATAACTGAGCCAGTTGTGTGCATTCATTAATGTAGTTCACTTCTACTAGTAAAAATTCACCCACGTATAATAGTTAGAGGCCATGCAGCCATACTTCTGCCTGATTGAAGGGAGAAGGGATGCTAAGTTGCAGTATTGTGGGCAAGGATGGAAACTAAAACTAGATTGTTTATAGAATACCATGGTTTGCTTGTTTAGTTTTAATCAGACTCTCAAGGAGTCTGTTGTAGGGCAGATGGTGCCTAGGGTGTTCTAGAAATCAGATGACATAGCATTCAGTTATTGGTGCTCCTCTAAAAGGAATTGACTAAAGTTTTGGGATGATAAAACTGACAAAGTAAAAGGAAGGTAAGTATAACCTTGTGGAAGGGATAGGAGTTGGCATTCTGTTAGTAGTGGATTGCTTTCTTGGTGCAACACCTCTGCTTATTTTTGGCAGACTGGAGCAATTATGCATACTTCTTGCTTTGTCTTAAAGGATAGTCACTACTTATAGGAAAAATAGAATCTGCTTTGGAATATTCATTGATGGGACACTATTGTATTTAGTGTAATTCTACTCTAAAATTATTAGACACTGGAATTAAAAGTGCCATTTTTATCATTTATTGTGAACTGATCCCATATGTCACACTTTCTAACTGCCAGACCTACAAATGTAATCAGGATTCTTTCCCTCTGGTGATTTGTCACCAATAAAATATTTTGTATATCAAATTAGATCCTCCATTACACCCATACAATCTTGTTTAAGACTAATGGGGTTGTCCAGGTATGGGGGGTTGAAATTTTGCTGGCAAAAGCTTTATTACTGGTGATGCTGTGTGAGCAGGAAAAATGTAGCTTTCATGATTTTCTAAGGTGGAATGAGTCCTGGGTATGTTTGTAGGATTGGCGGTTAGAAAATGCATCTTGCTTCACAGATAAATTCAGGTTACAATAACCATTGAACCCTCTGCCATTGTAGTCCCTTTTCAGAGTAGAATTGCACTTTAACCAGGCCTATGCTCTCTAGTAGCATCAGACATAATTATGAATGGAGATACTTAGCACAATCACCCATAAGGCTAGAAAAAGTTCTAGCTGTTTAACAGTCAAGAATTTGATTGTCTTGGTTTGAGCTCCAGAGTTTATGCAAAATTAAAATCTAATCTTGAAGAGTCCAGATTAACTTCACAGTATCTATGCATTTTCCTCACTACCATCAACTATGGTACACAGCTATAAGTTGCCAGTATTTCACATCTGAATGTAATAATTCAGTTTGCAATTACATGTTTCTCGCACCCATGTAGCATATTGGTGGGGAGTGAGAGCTGTTGTGCTAGAAGTCAGGATTCAATCCATTCTTTTCCCTCCTACAGCAACCTAAGAAAGCATCTAAAAAAGAAAAACCTAAGCAAAAGATGACTTCGAAAAACAAGAAAGCTGTGAAAAGTGCTAATGTCAAGAAAGCAGATAGCAGCACTACAAAGAAGAATCAGAACAGCTCGAAAAAAGGTAAAGATTTTAGTCTTGTTTTCACTGTGTTGCTTAATTTAGAAGAGGAGTCTTAAGGTTAACTGTCCAGCAAAACATTGCATACTTTTTACTGCTTCTCTGATGTAGAAATCACAAGTTTGTTTTGCTAATTTAGATTTGAAATATCAGGATGAGACCCCCTCTCTGCTGGGGGGCCTTGGCAAGGTCTTTAACAGGACCTGTAGAGTTATTTAACAGAATCTTGTAACCTGGTCTGCAGCCATCCTTCAGCCTGATTAATGGGAGAAGCTGAATTGCAGTATTCTGGGTTAGGGTAGAAATTAATACTAGATGGTATTTTATAAACAAAGTGTTTAAAACTAAATCAGCAAAACATGATCTGTCAGACTGTCAAGGAATAATGTGGAACATGGTGGAGGCATATGGTGTTCTGTGGGAGATGACTGTCCTTTGTTTTTTTTTCTGGAGGAAGGAAGCAGCAGGGAGATGTCAAACATTTGAATTCTAATAAAGTAAATCTTCCAGATTTAGAAAGTGAGTCTGAGGATAGTTCAGATGACGAACCTTTAATTAAAAAGTTGAAGAAACCACCTACAGATGAAGATCTTAAGGAAACTGTCAAGAAGTTATTGGCCAATGCAAATTTGGAGGAAGTAACAATGAAACAGATTTGCAAAGAGGTATGTATAATAATTCTACAGCTTTGTTTAAAGCAGTGGTTCTCAAACCTTTGTACTGGTGACCCCTTTCACACAGCAAGCCTCTGAGTGTGACCCTCCCCTTATAAATTAAAAACACTTTTTTATATTTAACACTATTTTAAATGCTGGAGGTGAAGCATGGTTTGGGGTGGAGGCTGACCGCTCGCGACCCCCCTAGCCCCCTGAGGGGTCCTGAACCCCATGGTTTAAAGCATGTAAGTCTATTTATAAACTAACTTTGATATTCCTCATTTCGTTTTGTAAATTGTAAATGTATTGTGTGTAAATAGAAATATTTCATATACTAATTACACTCAAAGAAATGTGTGAATGTCTAAAGCTGTACCACTTAAGCCTTTGATCTTGAACTAGGCTACATTAAATCTTGTCAGCACTTGACTGGAAAGCCTCAAGGAAAAACTCCGGGTGCTATCGGTTAACAGACGGTGCCTCTTTCCCCTCAGCCTCCCCTGGCCCTTTTGTGAATTTAGTCCTTGTTGCTTTTTGTCAAAATACCTAAAATAAAACAAAAAATTGAGTCAAAGTATTTTTTGACTTGCCCCAAATTTTGTTTTCAGCTGACCTGAAACTAAACTTTTTTCAATTTTTCAGAATTGCCAGCAAGTCGAAAAATCCATTATTTGCCAGTTTAGTGATTATTTTTTCCCACAATTTGGCTACTGATAGTGTTAAAACAGTATCTGTTTTTAATAACAGCACTATGTCATTGATTTAAAGGACCCAAAACTGTATTTACTGTGGACCTGGTCTTTGTTCTTTTAGTATCTTTCATACTTATGGGGAATGCAGCTGACCGCTTAAAGCAGTGGTTCTCAACCTGTGGTCCGTGAAAGACTTAGAGTGAAAACTGACTGAACAGATTTCAGCGTGCACTGTGTGTGTGTGTAATATGACAATAGGGGTCTACAAATGAGAAAAGGTTGAGAACTACTGGTCTAGAGCAGTGGTTCCCAAACTGCGGTTCGTGAACCCCTGGGGGTTCACGAAATGTTACAGGGGGTTCTCGGGAAAACATTCCCTAATGGCGGACAGAGCTGTCCCTAGGGACCCCGGACAGCACGGGGCCAGCAGCCTGGAGCCCCTGGACTTCCAAGAGCTAAGCAGATCAAAGCAAGCATATCTATCATACTGAGGAGATTTAAACTTCAAGACTCCTTATAAGAAATGGAAAGGGAGGTGGATATTTTTTGCTGTTTTTAAAATTAAATAGGCAGCTAGTATTGTTTTTAAAATTATTATGAAGAACAAGTTTAAGCTTTGTTGTAACGTGCGTTGTTTGCCTGGACTGCTTAAGACCTGAATGCATATGTAGGAGGAACATTTTGAGTTGGCTTCTTAAATACCTTCATGCTGTTTCAAATCTGATACTCCTTGATGAAACATAGGAGCCTTGTCTTATAACAGGCTTATTCAAAGTGATACAAGCGACGGAAGTGAGATCTTGGAAGAGTGTTGCTGTTTTCATAATGTAATAAAAATAATGTAATTATAAATAATAATTAATAATAGTGTGTAATAAGCATGTCATAAAAACAAATTTTATATTTCCAAGATCACTGCTTTTATAGTTTATACTCAGGTAAAGGAGAAAATCCCTGAAATATTCATTTTTAGGAGGGGGTTCGTGAGACTTGACATTTTAGTGAAAGGGGTTCACAGGTTGTTAAAGTTTGGGAACCACTGGTCTAGAGGATACAACACACCCACTGGAAAACAGCCTGAGTTGCTTGACCCCAGGGTATTCTGTCACCCACACATTGTGCTTTATTAATATGAAAACTGTAATCCCTGTTGTGATTAAAAACTGCTACACAAAAACTTTCAAAAACTGAGTTTAGGCAAAATGTGGGAAATAAAAGGCTTGACACTTCAAATGACATTGTAACACTTACATTTGGATTTGTACAACTCTGCACTAAAATAATGAAGTTAATATGTTCTAAAAGTAACAGACTTCTCACTCACACTAGCTCTTTTTTGTATTGCTTGCTTTAGGTATATGAAAGTTATCCCAGTTATGACTTGTCTGAAAGGAAAGATTTCATCAAAAAGACAGTTAAAGAGGTAAAAACTTATCTGAAAAAAGTCAATGGTATTTTTTTTAAACATCTATCAGAGGTTGGGACACTATATAGTACGAGTTTCAAAAAGCTTGGTTTTTAGTATGGGAACCATGATTCAAGAGCTGGATCTTTGCCCTATGTGCTCTTCATCTAAAAGCTGGTACAGTCTGTTTTTTTTCTTAACAGTCAAACCTGAACTTCACTCACATGTGGATCCAATAATTTCTTTATCTTTAGGAAATATGAGTTACTACTGAGGAAGAACTAAAATAGTAAAGCTACCATGGCCTCTATTAATCTAACTAGCATAATTAATAATGCACAGCTCCGAAAGGGCCAAATCATGGCCTAGGCTACACAGCAATTTAGGGATGCAAAGCACTGGCTACTTGCATCACAGGTAATAGCACAGGAGAGAACACAAGCTTCACCTCCCCTCTCCATGCAGCTGTGTGGGGAGAGTTATGATGCTGTCTTGAAGAGTACACTGCATCTGATGTAGACCCCATACTCCCGCCCCACAGCAGTAGTGGAAACAGGAAGGAAACTGACTCCCTGAATTGCAATTTTGCTTTCTTTAGCTGCTACAGCAATATGCCACCCTTAATGCAGAGCTCACGATCTAGTCCATAGCTAGTAATGCTTAAGAATAATTTCAAGGGCATTCATTTTTTCTCTCCCTAAAATAAAAATGGGATGAAGTAAGGGAATCAGTACTGCTGTTAGTAAGAATGCAGAAAATTTGTAAGTGAAATAAGAGATTCAAACCCTCTAATCCAAATTACAGATGAATCAAAATAATGCATACACCTCTAATGTTGTGTATGCCAGCTAAAACACAGTGGAATATCCTATCACGAGATGGCACTGAAGAATTTTATTTGTGGTGGCACTCCCATGTAAATGGGATGGCTGAGAGAAGAGCATAATCATTTCTCAACTAGCATTTTTGTGCATGTTCTTGAACAGCCTTTATCTTAATATTAGACTGGTGTGGAATTGATTAAGGCTAAAGGAGAAACTGTCTCATTTCAGTTGATTTCATGATCTAATTTGACTGGAGGAAATGAAAACTGCTGACTTATCTTCCCATGGATTTGAAGATGATAGACACCAGCAAAAAGAATGTTTGTGATATATTATGTTTAGTCAGCGCTGATTCTGCGGACAGAGTATCAGTGTAAATTGCTTTGTGTACCTTTTTAATAATTGCATTTGATGCAGGTTTTAGTTAACTTGCTTACATTTTTTTGTGCATGGCAATAAATGTTCCCTTTTTATAGTTTTGTACATTTTGAATTGCTTTGTAGTAGTAGATTCATTAAGACATCATAGCTTTTAATGTGCTTTAATACCTTGCATAAATTTTTTTTTAAGAATCAAGTAGGATAAAGGTTGTCTAAGTGTTTGCACATACATGCAGAGATTGTCTGGAATATTGCAGTATTGGGTTATACAAATATTGAATACATATCATTCTGAAAATCACTCATGCTAGTGTTTATATTCTGATTTACATGCTATAAATTCAGAATACTCAATCTACATTACTGTCTTGCATGTATATGCACTGAGAACCATCAAAGCATGGTAACTAATTGGCAGATATTATTTTTGTACTTTTAAAGACTCTGTATATAAAGTTATTGGAGATTTCTGTTGTGCAAATCAGTTTTTTAAATCTCTAGTTATCTTAGGACTTATGACATGTCAGTGTTCAGCAGTGATGCTGGGATGAAAAGTGGGAAGCTCCATAAAAGTTTATACAAAAGAGTTGAAGTTTTACTGTTTGTCTAATCTTGCCTTGTAAGGAAGATTCACCTGTAATTTTATACTTAAGCTTTTCAGTGTTTAACTTTATATAAAAGGCTACAGATGTATTTGTTCCAATGGCTTGACCTAATACATTAATAAAGTTCAAAGTGAAGGCTATAGGGGAAAAAGTAACTGACTTGATAATACTAATTTGGACTTTATGGCCAAAACTTTCAGAAGTAGGTGCCTAAAGTGATGAACACCTGCAGGCTTAACAACTGAAAATCATGCCCCAAATTTAGGAGCCCAAGAAGGATAGTACTTACTTAAATGATTAAGTGCTATTCCAAATCGGAATGCTTTTCTAAATCTGAGCTTAAATATGGTCTGTGGTACTCCTGTAGTGTGTGTGGTTTTTTTTTTTTTTTTAGTCCTTGTGGCACTTTAGAGACTAAATTTATTTGGGCATAAGCTTTTGTGGGCTAAAACCGACTTCATCAGATGCATGGAGTGGAACATACAATAGGGAGGTAGAAATACACAGAATATGAAAAGATGGGAGTTGCCTTACTAAGTGGGGGGGGTCAGTGCTAACGAGCCAATTCAATTTAAGTTGGAAGTAGGCCATTCTCAAGGAATGGAGAGAGTTATCTTTTCATATGCTGTGTATTTATACCTCCCTACTGTATGTTCCACTCCATACATCCGATGAAGTGGGTTTTAGCCCACGAAAGCTTATGCCCAAATAAATTTGTTAGTCTCTAAAGTATCACAAGGACTCCTCATTGTTTTTGCTGATACAGGCTACCACTCTAGAATCACATCTCAAACTTTGGCCAACTGCTTTTGGTTCAAAGTGGAAATTTTCATGTAAATTGTTTTTGTGCACCATATACCTTTGTGCTATTATAGAAAGTCACACATTTATAATTTATGTAAAATACTAACAGAGGCCAAACAAAGTGTTGCTATCAATGCTATGAAAAACAAATCCTGTAATGACTCCAGTATTCAAGAGCAAAACATTTTTAAAATTTAGTATTCTATATTTGCAAAATTAGGAGTCAATTTAAATTCTGAATGTTCAGCCAGTCAGGATGTTAATTAACCTTTACCTTTTTGACTTCTTTGCATGTAATCCTTTTTTTAAAAAAAAGGCTGAATGTTTCAGTTTTGTACTCAATAAATGTCTTTCAGAAAAACTTAGATCAATTTTGATATTCACTTACCTGTACAGTAAAATTTTACAGCCTCAGATGTATACCTAGTCATCTAGAGGAAGCTATTCAAAACTCTGGAAAAGGTTTCTCTGCTTTAGAGGTGCCATAATGTCCTGCCATCAATATGACTACAACAAATGACTCTTGTGCAAGTACTTTGAACAATCTTACCAGCTTTAACAAAGGCATTCAGACAATATCAAAATCCTGGTAAAGCAGTAAGTTACTAGTCACTGAATCTTGTTTTGTCCTTGGGTAGTACTACAATAGGTTATTTTTAAATTGTACTTTTAAACCGTATGTAACTAACACTCATGGCCAAGTCACCACCTTATTTGAATGAGGTGGACAAGACAGAAGTTACTGAACTTCTTCTCAAATGCTTTTCCTCATCCTTGTGTAGGAAAATGCTAATGAAAGCTGAAGTGCATAAGTGTTAATGCTATGATCTAACTCTACCCCATTGGTTCTTAACCAGGGGTATGGTCTATGGGTGAAGCTTGTGTGTAGAGTATCATCTCTTGTCCACACCAGTCACTGCTTGGTGAGGAAATAATCTATCAGTTTGTGAAGTGTTCTGTGATCCTTTGAAAGACCACTGGATCCATTACTGTATAGATAATAGAATCAGGACTTGCAATTGCAAGACAGTTCTAGAACAGTAACTACCCTCATATAATGCGACCCAATATAACACATTCAGATATAACATAGTAAAGCGGTGCTCCGGGGGGGTGGGGCTGTGCACTCCGGCAGTTTCACCTATAACGCGGTACGATTTTTTGGCTCCGAGGACAGCATTATATCGGGGTAGAGGTGTGTAAGATTCTACCTCTAGATATTAGTAGTGTGTTGTGGGTTTGTCATGTTGCTTAGTACATGCTTAGCATCCATTTCAAAAACTGTGTGCAACATCCAGTGGACGCTTTCCAGTTTTATTCTGCTGCCATAACACAGTCATACAGACGAGTTGAAGTGTAACAGATCATGCTCTGCCTTCAGACATTTTGGTCATATTTTAAACAAATTTACTTAAAGCCATTCTCCAGTTGTTTATTTACAGAGAATAAACTGTACACAAGTTAGAAAAACTGGCATGCTTAATTAAATTTGACATAATTATTAGTCCAAGAACTTCTCCAACACTTAAGTCAGGCCAATTCTAAGGCTCTTAAAGTCTTAAATGAGTGTAAACAAAATGGAACACTCATTTTATGCTTGTTTCTCTACAACTGAATGCGGCATAATACAGTCTAAATGCCTGATTACCAAAGTAATAACAGACATGGTAAATTTTAAACTGTTTAGTCCATTATAAATAAAGGTCTGCATTTATTATCCCTCATTCTTGCCTTTTTAATAAGGCCTTACTTCAGCAAAGCATTTAAACATGTGCCTATTAAGAATGTATATAAATTCCAATGCAGCTGTCAGCAGGACTGGGGCCCATACTTAAAGTTCAGCATGTACAGAAATGCTTTGCTGAAGAGGGATAGGCTGCTGAATTGGGATCTAAGACACTAAGGATTAACTGAAAGGTCAGGCTCTTAACTGTTTCCATGCTATTACGAAGCTGATTGGAGCTTTGACCAAGGCCTGTAAATAGAGTTTATAGTCTGAGCTTGTACCAATGATTCTTTTATTTAACTCTGTTTCTAAGCTGCTTTCCTATTAAAATTTTGCTATCTTGTATAGTACATTGAGAGAGGCAGGGAGCTCTTCCTTTCATTTTTGCCAACCATGGATACTTTTAGTTTCCCATTGAAATCTCTCTCACTTCCATTATAAACTGGTCTATAAAACATGGAATTATCAAAGTAGCAATGATTTAACAAAAGCAAAATTTAAACTCTGATTACCATTTCTTCTATAAGCAAAGGATTTCAAGCCTTGCTCTATATAACCTTTAAGCCAGTTACAATTTAGTACTTGAAAGTATTTCAGAACTGTAAATATTAGCATTCTTTAGAGCAAAAAAATTTAGGAACACTTACACTTTCAGTCACATCCTCAATTCAATTTTAAAAAGCCGAATATTTAGCTGAAAAACAGATCTAGTTACATGTATAAACATCTTCAACCTTGTAAATTAAAGATTAAATAAAAATATTTAACATCTGAACATCACTTCTACCCTCGAAAACAAATTAGGTATTGAAGAAGAGTAAAAAAAATTGCTTTTCTTCAGCAGGCTTCTTTTCTAAAGGTAACCTTTCTAGAGTTAAGCACTGTAACTCAAGAAGGCTTGCTTTGTCACACTGAGCATTCTAAAAAGAGTGCATGCTTGAGACTAAGAAAAATAATTAAGTGCTTATTTTCCTTCCAGAATCACACAGAACTCTGCAGTAACATCACAGGAGGAAAAATATATATTTTTTTAATTTTATTTTAAAACATTTTCCATTTACCCTGTTCTGTGGGATGTTATTAAGGCAGGTGTGGATGCTGTGTGTTTTATTTCTTGCTGCCTTCCCCTGTGTGAAAAACTTCTTAGGTATTTGCTTATCCTTTACTGAATTACTCCAAAGAGTCTTTTTTTTAATAATACCTTCAAATAATAAAAAACTAAATCAAAGTGCAAGCCACCTTATTTCAGCCCTTCATAAAAAGCATGAATATTTTAACTCATTCATCTTCACCTATTTTAAATACAAAAGCAGAATGAGCCACTAATAACTTACACCCTCTTTATCCCCAATTAAGCTCTCATAATTATACGTGTAAGTGATTCACCTACTCAGCTCAAATGAATTTGGAAGTTCACTTTCAAAGGAAAACATCTAAACCCATACAATTTTTTTTGCTACCCTACTTACATGATGAGCAACACTGAGCAAACCTAAACTTACTCTTATCATAAAGATCATTCCTCTACATGTACAACTCTGAATATGCAGCACAGAGAACATTTCAGAGATATTTTTACTGTAACATGAAAGCTTTTTTCCTTTTGAAAAATCCTTTAGCTTCAATAACCCTTTGATGATTGCACTATAAACTTCCAGCAGTTTTTATTTAAAAGGAACACATTGCCAAAGCCTGACTGGTGGACAGTAAGTACACTGAAAAAATGTCAGAAGAGGTTATTGGGGGTAGGGTGGGGAGATGTAACTGATTTTGTTCTCTCTTACAACCATCTCCATTGTCATTCCATGATTTGGCTTGTTTGTTCAAGTGCTACTCTGATCATGATCAACCTGAGAACAAAATGAATTTAAGAGTCCCACCACCAAATAATCCACCATGTTTTAATACTGTATAGAAATCAATTGCTCTCTTATTCTGAACTTCTTCAATGCAGGTGGGT